AGGATTCAAGTCAGGAGAGTGCACCTCCTGGACTTGACAAACTTGAACTTTGGAATTTGGACTGTCTTGTTTTCTGTTAGTTTTCATTATGACACTGTGCAATTTTTTTTTCATTCTATTCACTGTTCTCAAAAAAAGGCCATGCTCCAAAAGTCAGCATCAACTATCCTATACTCATGCACTTCACTCAAAAAAAAAAAGACGAAACTTCGTTGACGAAATTTTTAGACAACAAACTATTACCATCACTGGGTTCCTGATTATCGTCAGACTAATCATTTTCTTACTCATATAGCCAAAAAAAGTCGTAACAGTCTACCTTGATCATCATTCAATTTCCTCGTCCATCCCGATATATACGCAATCAGCAGTAGTATACCAAATGGTATAAGAAGCTGTGTAATCAGATGTGGCCAATTTCTCATGGTATATAATAACCGTTTGGTAAAGAGAGCCTCCACCTGGTCACATAAAAGGGCACATCCTTCGTGGCGTTCCACTAAACCCCAAATCATGATCTACAAGAAAAAAAACTCGAAACTACTTACCCCTCCGGGCTTGGATCAGTTCTTCACTACGGCTTATGGTAGCGTCGACAAAATCAATCATAGCGGTTGGGTCAGTTTGCTCAGCTACTTTGAGAAATACCTAAATCAGATGTAAGGAAAGAATTTAGTAAAGTAATATACATACTAGGACAAGCAATTCAAACACCAGAAACTATTGAAAAAATTAAGAAAAAACCATTACCTGCTCCAAGGTGTTCAACGACAATGCAAAGCTGCTAATATGCAGAGCATCTTTTGATTTTTCGAGATACTCGAACAACTCGGGGAAACTGAAAGGAAAAAAAAAACTTTCAGAGAAACCCTTAAGCAGTATTATTTCAAACTGCTTTCCGTGCACATTTCCCCTGGATGCACCACGAACAAATTGTGATGCAATTTCGGTTAATCTTGAAGCCGTGTATTGTGCGTTTGCTTTCTCTTGTATCACGACTGTCATTACGTACCCAGTACCGAACCTGAAAATCCATGCAGGTTTAATTCGGAAAATTTAAACACTTCGAAATTTATGAGGTATGAGTATGATCCAAATTCGAAAAATAGGCCAAAAAGCAAAAAAAAAACTGAAGATCTTTCAAAACTCCAACTCATTTTAAGAAAACTTCATCGGCAAAGCACAAGACCACTTGCCTTTTATGGAAAAGTAAACGTTACTCTCTCACCTCTTTTTGAGAAATTGAGGTGTTCCACAACAATAAACTCGTCCCTTGGCCATAATGGCTACTCGATCGCCAAGTAATTCTGCTTCGTCCATGTAGTGCGTAGTAAGCAAAACAGTTCTGAATAAAGCTATGATATGAAGGGGTTACAAACAGAAAATTGCAGTAAAAAGGTCTTACCTATCAACTTTGATGCTCTCCAACAAGCTCTCCACGTCTCGACGAGCTCCCGGATCCATTCCAGCTGTCGGCTCATCCAGCAACACTACTGGACTGCCACCAATCACTGCCATTGATACGCAAAGCTTACGTTTTTGACCACCCGACAAGTTCATTGCTAACTGAAACATGCAATTCAA